CTAGAACAATAACTGTTAAGGTCCCCTGTGTGTTGACATCTGTATATTTTGAATGTATCCATGATTTTATACCTTCCCAGAAAGAAGAACTAAACTGGCAATCCCAAAATAAATGTGTTACAGTTTCAATATGGTTGTTCCAGAAAGAACGAGTATTAACATCTTATATTCTCATCTTATGTTTGTTTGTTTGTTTCATTTTACGCCTTTTCCCCAACAGTATTTCAGTCAAATAGGCGGAAAGTTTCCTAACCATCGTTCCTGGAGAGTTACACCAGTACTAGACAACCTTCCTCCGCGCTAAACTACCAAAGCATCCTCATGTTATGTAAAAGATAGTTTGTTGCCAGTATCCTGTGGTTACCACTGTTAGTTTGATGCCTTTATAATATTATGCCTATAAACTTAATGCAATATCAGTTAAAATCATCATTCAAACTGAGTTCGTCTTTCTATTTCTCTTAGCAGTAGAGGATGTATATGCTCCAAGAATAAAATTATAGATTTGCCAATTACCGTAACTCTGACTATTGATTATTTCATCAATAAAGGCTAAATATTTTTTCTGAATTTTTAAAAATATTCTTATCGACTTTATAATGTTTTGACACTGTAAAAAGAGTATTTTATATCAAACCTACGTACAGACTCAATCAAACGGAGTCAATTTTTTTCATGTAATTTTGTTGTGATTAATGCTTCCGAGGGAACACACTTTATCCAGTTTCTTAGTTAAAAATTCATCAAATAATAGGAAATTACCTTTACTGTCTAAGAAGTCATTAACCAAAATAATGCTGCAATTAACATATCTTGGAAAATAAACAGTAGAACCAACTATTTTAAACATACAGTTATGCCAAACAGTAAATGAGCAATATTCACTCTAATTCCTTGAGTACTTATGAGACCAGTAAAAAACATCCTTTTAAAAATTAATTTTGCATATGGGTCATCTGGGGTCAAAATAAGGTCACACAACCTGTTTTTGGTAAAACTTAGTAAACACTCTATAGGCTAGTGTTTTGTCCAAATATCCTGGTCATTTGTGAAAAAATGTTTTTTAAGTGACTTCAAAGTCAAGTTAGAATAAAGGACAGATGTTGTCAAAATCTAGGTCGCACGGCCCAAATATGACAAACTTTGTTAGCATTCTAGAGGATATTGTTTCGGTCTAAATGTTTTCGTCAGAAAGGTTGATCGGGTGAATTCTAGGTTTCAAGTTCGAATAAAGGTAATCTGGGGTCAAAAACTAGATCTCACAACCAAAACATGGAAAAACCTTTTAAACACTCTCGAGTTCCAATAAGGGTCATCTTGGGTCAGTATGTATATAGAAAAAGTTAAGTTACACTCTAGAGGCTACTGTTTTGATCCAAATGTCCTGAAAATAAGTCAAAAAGGTTGTTTATGCGATTTCAGAGTTTGAATATGAGTCATCTTGAGCAAAAAAGGTCAAAAACAATGTCACGCAGCCTAAATATCGAAATAAAAACTTGTTAACACTATAGAGGCTTATATTTTGGTTATTATGATCCGAACATTTGTCAGAAAATTTGTTTATAATATTTCTATGTCAAAATATGGAAAAACCTTGTTAAAACTCAAAAGGTCTGCGTCATGTGGGGTCAAAATCTATGTCATACAGCCCAAATATGGAAAAGCCTGTTAATACTCGGAAGGCTATTGTTTCGGTCAAAATGTCCTGGAAACTGGTCCAAAGGGTTGTTTAGATAATTTCTAGCTAAACTTTAAAATTGGTCATCTTTGGTGTACAGAGCTTTGATTACACCATGAATGCTATATTTGCAGCCCAAATGTATTGGTCAAGTTTGAATATGGGTCATCTTGGATAAAAGAAAAGGTGACATTCGATATTTCGATAAATACGGTGGCATAGAGGTAACATTTGCACTTTTATTTTATCTCGTGGCCACGACTTATTATCTTGAGGCCTCAAGATATTATCTCGTGGCCACGACTTATTATCTCGTGGCCACGACTTATTATCTTGTGGCCTCAAGATATTATCTCGTGGCCACGAGTTATTAACTTGTGGCCACGACTTATTATCTTGTGGCCACGACTTATTATCTTGTGGTCTCAAGATATTATCTCGTGACCACGACTTATTATCTCGTGGCCACGAGTTATTATCTTTTGGCCTCAAGATATTATCTCGTGGCCACGATTTATTATCTTGTGGCCACGACTTATCATCTCGTGGCCACGACTTATTATATAGAGGCCACGACTTATTATCTCGTGGCCATGAGTTATTATCTTGTGGCAATGACTTATTTTCTCGTGGCCACGAGTTATTATCTTGTGGCCACGACTTACTTCAGCCAATGAAAATGGTCGTTTCATCTTGAACAAAATTTAATATCACACTGGCAATAGCAGTCACAAGAGGGGCGTGTCAATCACCACCATATATTCACTTAAGTTCACGCATTTTCACAGAGACGTGCTGAATTTCAGTAAGGGCTAATCAGCTAGTATATCACTATAAACTGTATTGACCACATTAACACGTCCACTGAGTAGAGTCTTGTCATCACTTATTAGACCTCTGTATTCTTATCTTATGGTCCTAACGTTTAAGGATAAAGTTTCTGCAGATGCAGATTTTCATAAAATACACTCACTTTTATAAGTGGTCATCACCGGTAGGAAGATAGCAGTAGCATTGAGCAGTAGCAGTAACAAAATTATAAAACATGAAGTTGGCAGTAGCTGTAGCACAGAAGAAGCAGTAGCAAAATTATAAAACGTGAAATTGGCAGTAGCAATAGCACAGCAGTAGCAATCAAAGAGGAGATCTTAAAAAAATTGACATATGTCTTTGAAACTTGTATATGTCAGTTTTTATAATAAAAAATAAGAAAAGAAAAAGATTCAGATAACCCGTTAAAGTTAGTCATTTATCATTGTGACATGGTAGTATATCTTGAATAATGATTATCTAGATACAAGTCTTTTATGGGATTCGAATCCACAGGGAAAAGGGGCAAGTTATTTGAATGAACGACCTTAAAAGAATACATCAACCGCATATATTTCTTAATTACATCTCAATTAAATTAGATATACCGTGCTCATCCTTGAAAATTAAAATCACAGATTTTTTTTTTAAATCTATGATGCGTCTAACTTGAATAAAGAAATCAATCAACTATGTACAGGAAGCTGCGTTCCCTATAACAGGTCAAGTAATCGTTACTTAATAAAACTTACACTATATAATTCTATTCATGGTGAACACCTATATTGTGTAGAATTTTCAATATAAAATATCTACTATCTGTGAAGTCAAAACATGTTTATTTTATGTTTACATGTACAAAGGGACTATGTAACAATTATCAATATTGTCTAATATTAAATTTAAGCAAAGTATATCTTTAAAGAGAAATGAAAGAAACACCTGACCATACAAAAAAAGAAGAATAATAATTATAAAACGTTCCCTTTCTTCACCGCCGCAGCGTTTGACCCCACCGCTCTTGTGAAAGCTGTGGCCAGTGTGATATAAGGTCCTATTGATATTAACTTTTGTTCAAGATGAAACGACCATTTTAATTGGCTGAAATAAGTCGTGGCCACAAGATAATAATTCGTGGCCACGAGATAATAAGTCGTGGCCTCAATATAATAACTCGTGGCCACGAGATAATAAGTCGTGGCCTCAATATAATAACTCGTGGCCACAAGATAATATCTTGAGGCCACGAGATAATAAGTCGTGGCCACGAGATAATAAGTCGTGACCACGAGATAATATCTTGAGGCCTCAAGTTAATAAGTCGTGGCCACGAGATAAAATAAAACTGCAAATGTCACATCTATGCCACCGTATCGTGGTGATATTAACTTTTATTCAAGATGAAACGACCATTTTAATTGGCTGTAATAAGTCGTGGCCACAAGATTTTAAGTCGTGGCCACGAAATAATAAGTCGTGGCCACAAGATAATCACTTGTGGCCACGAGATAATATCTTGAGGCCACGAGATAATAGGTCGCGGCCACGACATGATATCTTGAGGCCACAATATAATAAGTTGTGGCCACGAGATAATAAGTCGTGGCCACGAGATAATATCTTGAGGCCACGAGATAATAAGTCGTGGCCACAAGATAATAAGTCGTGGCCACAAGATAATAACTCGTGGCCACGAGATAATAAGTCGTGGCCACAAGATAATATCTTGAGGCCACAAGATAATAAGTCGTGGCCACGAAATAATAAGTCGTGGCCACGAGATAATATCTTGAGGCCTCAAGATAATAAATCGTGACCACGAGATAAAATAAAACTGCAAATGTCACCTCTATGCCACCGTAATAAACCATGTATACTTTTGCACTATTTCCGATGTAGATATAAACGTTATAATATTAGTTTAAGATGTTGACATTTTCAGCTTTTCATTACTTGCTAAAAGTATTAATTAAGAACCTAAATAATCAGGTAAGCGATAATCATGGCACTCCTGTCATTGTTTTGTGTTTGTTAATGCGTCCAGTATTTATTAAGTCGGGCGTGTTGTCTCCTCTGGTCATATTAGTGTAAAATAGCCTGTTGACTTTATCACAACGAAGACAAGAACTCTATCGAATTCAACGCGAAATATGTAAAACAAAAGTGCATTGTATTAACAAAAAGTAAAAGTTTATTTTTAACAAAATGCATTAACTAACATGATACAAGGTCTTTAGATTTATAGTAAATATAACGAGTGATTTTCATCACAATAACATGTAATTTGAGATTTAAAAAAAAAAACAGTAATAATTTTTTAGGTTTAGCATTGAATTATCTTTTTTTAATTCTTTCAGACACACATACCACTAAATACTGGAGAATTAAACAAAATATATTCTTATTCAGTTTCGAAACTGAATGTTACCGTTATCTACGATTAAACTGGCTAAGGTAGATCATCTCAATCAGAATGACATAGAGTTGTTAAAATTTTATACATTTTTTTCAGGCTTGGCGCCAAGACTACAAGTCACGACAATGATAATTCTTCTCCGTCTAGGAAGTATATAGATGTATCAGCAATGGCTTCATACAGCCTTAAACTACTAGAAAAGAAATACAATAACTGGGTTAAAGCCCAGTTAGCTGTGCTGTTTAATGAAGAAGGAATTGAACCATTTGTTTGTAATGAAATTCAAATATTTCAACAGAAATGTTTAGATGATATATGCTACAACAATGGACTATTAAGCGGAGCTTTGTGCTCAAGTTGTTTTACGGAAAATATTGTAAAGTGTCCTACAAACCGAATATGTAATGTTGGACGTGGACAATGCAGTTATCATCGAAATGCCACTACACAGTACAATCCTTCCGGTTGTCCTAATAACATATGCGACAATTTCAAGGCAAAAATACAGAGTGCACATAGGTTCTATGGTCCATCATTCAAAAATACCGATGCAACGAATTGGTGCAGTAATCCCTGGGAGGTCGCTAAATGTTTTTTGCCACAAGATGGGTATAAAGATGTTGTGTCTGCAAAAGAGACGGATTTCAATGGCATCATCAGCGTTGTCATTAATTACAAAGACTTTCAGATGAAAGTACATGAGCACTTAGGAAATAAGAGTAACCTTTTTGAACAGGTAGGTTAATTTCAAACTCTTCTTATCTTAGTCTATGAAACTTCATAATGGCTGATCAAAGTGTTTAGGTGTGTCTTTTTTCGCACAGGCCAATATTGCATTTATCTGGTTAAAATCAGATCATCGTTTACGCTCCGTTACTCTACAAAGCGAAAGGTAGTGGAGCGTCAATTACGATATTTGGTAATTTTAATGAGATTGATATTTTTAAACTCTGTAATTTATATTTGTACGTTCCAAGCAGATGATTAAAAGAAATCAATTATCTGGAGGGCAGCGTTCGTGTGGTAACACTTTATAACTAAGAATCCATGGGTTGCGGGATTTATTCCCCTTTACTCAAAATAAAATTACTACAACTCTTTCCAATGAGAATTTTAAAACCCAGATCTCAATAAATGGCAAGTGAATCCCACCAAAAAAGAAGATTTGCGTGTGGTATTAGAATTGGTCTTACTTTGTGGAAAACTTTGTTCAAATATAGTAAAAATAGCAACTTAACTGGTATGGTAACTTCTGTTAAAAACCTGAAAGGGGAAATTCTTTGAAATAATCTACATTAAATGTCCAGAAACTAATTTGAAGCTGCAAAAGTTATATGACTAGTGCTAAGCTCTATGGAAAGAAATATCGCATCTAAAGAAATGTATGTGCTTTTACCCGTGTTAACAGATAAAGAGCAATGTAATTAATTTGTTGTATGAATTATTTACAAAACGTTTTAATTTTATATGTTGCATTATATCAAATGTACACTTTCAAGGCTCCTCTGTTTCATTATATGATTCTTTTTTCAGGCGAGAGAAATTGGTAGGATTGTGAGACATTCGTCAGAATTAGAGGTTGAGGACAAGGACCTTCAGCAATACTTCAAAGTATTGCAACAACTATTGTCTGATCCCGTATATTTAGCTACAGATACGCATGCACAAAGTGCTAAACAGAAACTGTCAGACGTACGTAAACATTCTTAGCTCACCTAAGCAGGAAAAGCTATATGGTGTATTAGACCTTTCTATCTTAAACGGACTTCGTAAACGGACTCCGTAATACTGAATTAAATGGGGGATTTTCTCAAAACATAAATGTGGAAAATAAGATGTAAAAATCAATACGCTTTAACTGTAATATGCGTATCCTAAACTTTAGTTGTCACATTTTAGAGTGTTTGTTCATGAATTTTTATCAGATTTTTTTTTCTGATTTCTTGAGCAAGTTAAGATATTGTTCATCTGGTATGAACAAAAATTAATATAATTGAATAAATTAATGTGAACATTCTAGTAACCACGTTCCTGTGCAGTTCTTTTTTATAATTGCTTGGAATTTCTTTCTTGACAATTGTAAGCCATAATTAAAATAAAGTAAATTTGGGATATCAGCTATTTTTGGTATGACATTCAATTAACTGTAAAAAGTTTTAAACCAGGCAGAAATGCATGACAATCAAACTACTTTTAAATATTTGTTTTGGTTTAAAACGTTTTTCAATGCTTGGAACAAAAGATAGTCTTGATATTCGTTTTGTAATATACATTAATGCACTTTGTAACTATATATAGTAACAAAATTGCCTATAATTTCAACTCAGTATACAATGCATATGTAACGTGACCGATTATGAGTTTGCGACCCAGGGCAAATGGATGCAAAGGGATGTGATTATTCTGATCTTTCTATTTCTATACCGCATATTTAGTGTTCAACCCTTTAACTGTTCAACACTATGGCGTATGCTTTCCTCTTGATTATTTTGATTTAATCTGACGGACCACGTGGCAGACTCTATAATGAACAGTCCTTAAACCCATCGGGACTGAATTGTTTAATTTTGGACTTCTGCTTTGATTTGTTCAAGTTTTTAGGTGATTTTCTTGCTGCTCTGTCATTCTTGAAGCCATTGGATTTTTGTTATGGTCATTGGGTTTATTTTTATATGTAGAGTGTAACTTCTGAAAATCGAGCACATTTTGTACCAGCAAAAAGTTTTAAGAAGTATCCAAAATTCAAAAGTTTGAAATTATCTGAATAAGTAGAAACATAAAAAAGCAAGTAAGACCTACAAAATAATTATGATGTTAAATTTTTTTTTAAATACATGTAGCAGAATTTGAAGTTTATAAAAAATAAAATAAATTTTAGTATCACCTAAGTATAATTGACTTTGATAACACAACAGCATAAAGTAAATTAACACATCACTGTACCTGTAATATTTTTTTTCACAATATACTTTCCAGTTTCTTAATTTTCACACTTTAATCAAGGCCTGGCTAAACAGGTTGTAATAAAAAACAGGTGTCAAAAGTTAAATGAAAACGTCACTGATCTTTAGAAAATACTTAAATTATGCAGGTTTTTTGTAGTCTCCAGTATAATAATTCTTCACACCCTTTCAATTTTCGACATTGAAAATAACATTTAATCGATATTACCCAAATCTGCCAGATTTTTCTTTCTTTTCGGAATTCGCAATTTAGAAGTTCAGAAATTAAGAGGTATGAATTACATGGAAAACAGAAGACTCTTTAAATTGTTCGGATTTTAGAAGTTTCTGAATTTTTAGAAGTTCCAGAATTCTTACACTGTATGTACATGGTCATTTCTGTGTTTTTCCATAACAACTGTTAAAATTTTGCTTAGCAGGGATAACGTTGTCTTGTTTAAAAGACATGTTTGAGCTGGGAGTGAGGTTGGATGCACCATTAACCGGTTTAAACTTCCCAGCAGTGCTTATGCTGACCGTGTCCAGGCGGCACCCCTCTGTAATTCTCATATGTATGTCTTGTTTATTGTTACATGCAATTGTGTTGACACGCTTGTGTCCTTTTTTGTTCTTTGTTGATATACCCACGGAAACGAAGTTTAGGGAGGGTATATAGGAGCCAGTTTGTCCGTCGATCGGTTGGTCCTTCCGGCCATAGGAAGGTCTACTTCATGGTTTCCAGATGAGAGTTTGGAATGAGATATTGTAATCAAACTTGGTATATTGCATCCTTATGTGTAAACCCCGGCTGGACTTGCATTTGGACCCCCTGGGTCATGGTCACAGGTAGTAAAAATTGGAAAAACGGACAATAATAAGAGTTAGGAATGAGACATTGTAATCAAACTTGGTGTAAAGCAAGTTTATGTGGAGACCATGGTTGGTATTGCTAAAGGTCACCATTACTTAAAATAAAAAATGGTCCCCAGACAATAACTAGAGTTAGGAATCAGATATTGTAACAAAACTTGGTGAAAAGCAAGCACATTATGAAGACCCCGGTTGGTATTGCATTTGGAATCCCTTGGGTCAATGTCACCGTTACTTAAAATAAAAATGGTTTCCGGGTAAGAAATGAGATTTTGTAATCAAACTTAGTGTATATCAAGCCCATGTGGAGTATTGCATTTGAATTCCCTGGGGTCAAGGTCAATGTGACCTTTTCTAAAAATAGAAAAAAATCCGGACAACAACTAGAGTTAGGAATGATATATTGTAATCAAACTTGGTGTATAGAAGGCTTATGTAGAGACCCCGGTTGGTATTGCATCTGGATCCCCTGGGGTCAAGGTTAATGCCACATTTTATAAAAATAGAAAATTGGTTCCGGACAATAACTAGGTTAGGAATAATATATAGTAATCAAACTTGGTGTAAAGCAAGTTTATATGAAGATCATAGTTTGAATTACAATTAATTGAAATAATTCTTTGTGCACAGTTGACACTTCATTTACTATAGGTTTAGTTCAAATGTTTCTTCAGACTTCTTGTCGTCTACGGTGTCATCCCTGTTTTAAATTTTGCTACAACCTTATCCTTTTGTGGGCCTTTTAAATAATTATCTTTAATTGCCTTGGTGATCTTAATAGTCTTATTTGTAGTCTTAATAGTTAGCTGATACTGTGTCTAAAAGATAAAGATGTTTATTAAAAGTTTTATCACTTCATTCGCATGTTTAATTTTTTCTACATGATTGATATCATATATAATTCCAGCTTGAAAATGACATATTGGTTGTTGGAAAAGATGATGTAAGGAAAGCACTAGATGATGTTGCAAAAGCAGTTCGGGACAAAATAAGAACTGAAATAGATGACCAGAAGAAACAGTATGATGAGATTAAACTTGATATGATTAAAAATAAACAAGACGATATTCGGTCACTAGAGTTTAAAACTGCTGAGGGAGTGAAAACACTCGAGAATATTGTTGATGACAACGCTAAGACAATACGAAAAGAAATAGCCAAAATGAAACAAGAAGCTGATGCTTCAGTGAAAACGCTTAAAACCCAAGCTGACGAAGAAGTAAAGAATATTAAAGAAGAGAGTAAAAATTCAGTAAAGATTATTGAATCAAGTAAAAAAAGCGGATTGGACAAAATAAAACAAGAAGTTGACGTTTCAGTAAAATCCTTTAAAACACTAGTTGATGATGAAGCCAAGAAAATTAAAAAAGAAAGTGACAATTTCGTTAAGGTCATTAAATCAAGCACAGACACGGGACTTGGCAGAATAAAACAAGAAACTAACACTTTAGTCAATAGTCTTAAAATTCAGAGCAGCAGTGAAAGACAAAGTATAACCGAACAAGGAAAAAAAGAAAAGACAGCATTGGTTGAATTAGGAGAGACTTTACAGAAAACGCTTTACACAAGAAATATAGATGACAAAGAGGAACAATACGTTTCTTCTAGAAAAAGTAATTCATATATATCATGTATTTGTAGGATCTGGCATGAGTTGACATTTGGCATAAACATTTATGATACTACTTCAGGAAAATGTTTTAAGCGAACCCCTGATGACCTAAATAACATTTTTCCAGACGAGTTTCATTCGAAAGTTTATATTCAAGCTAGAGTTATTACTTAAGGTGATTCATACGCCCATACATCATCAGCCTTAGCTTTTTGACCAAACAAAAATTTTAATCGGCCTATAATTTATGATGTTTCATCTGTGAACCAATTATTATTACAATTAATTGCCTATCTTTTCCATTTTTCTATTCTAAGTAAAAGTGACCTTTACCTTAAACCTAGAGGATCCCAAACTATATTTTGCAAAAGCTTGCTAAAGGCCAAAGTTTGTTTTTTCTTTTAAATCCCATTTATCCACAAACAATCTTTCTATTTTTAGTAACAGTGACCTTCATCTTTATCAAAAGATGTCCAAATAGCGATCTTAAAGGCCCAACTGGACTATAAAAGCCAGCAGATGGTGCTAGGGCAGGTTTCTTATTAATTTTATGCATGCTTCACTTCAGGGACCCTTTTTCAAAGATTTAAGATTAATTACCAAATGCATTTAAACAACACTTGGCATGTATGTAGGCATAGATATTCTTGATATAGATTGACCAAAATTATTCAAAATAAAACTTTGTTAAGTGTGTTTCTGGAAAAAAATACTGGCTGTCAAATTTGAAATTTGAATTTCCATGGGAGGAGCCAACTGATCATTACAGGTCATGAACCTTCAGTAGTAAACAGATGCACGTGGCAGTGTTTATTTCAGTGAGAGAGATTTGTAGCAGACGATATATATTTCAGGGAGGGAGATTTTCAGCAGACGACACATTCTAATGCTGAATACATGATAAGAAAAAACAATAACTTTTACTGATCTTACTTTATCAAAAAGTATTTATATCCAACAAATTTACAATAATCCATTAATCTATGATTTTTTTTTAATTTCAAAGTACTGATTCAACTTGTATTTAAATGGTTTAAACTTCATGAAAACAGTAAAAGTAACTTCCAGTTCTGTATATTTCATTTACACTATATTTTGTTGTAAATATCTTGTAGTTAAAATTACATTTCACAAATGTTTATCATTTGTATAAAATTTTTATATATTAATAGTTTAAAAATATTTTAAATTCCTGTCAAGATCATTTTTAGCAGTTTTTCTTAAAAGAAATGTCCCATGTAAGGCACATCCTTTGGATTTGGACATAGTTGTCTGACTTGATGAAAAACAACTGACTTCAAAAATAATATATGGACAAGATGGCTTGATAATGTCTTTTAATTAATCTGATTAATCTGTGAGTTATATAAAACATCCATTAAACCTCTCCTGTGTAAAATATGCTGTTTTGTTTACATTCTCTCTGCAGGTTAACACTGCATTCTATTTTTAGCTCATGGTTTATAACAGACAGTTTTACATCACTGATTAGTCACACCCACAAATACTCGCTGCCGCGGCAGCGAATGTTGCCCCTTTAAGCATGGTCTCTTCTTAAGCTTGATATATACTAAGTTTGAAAAATCCCCTATGTAACTAATTCATTTACTTTCACCAGAAAAATTCATCTGGTCCACTCCATTCGCTGACTTCATCAAAATCACAGCTTCGGGCAAAATTATAACCGACTTGTTCAGACTACTCTATCGATGGTAATCATCTCCAGTAGGTTTAAAGGAATATTTAGGGACCATTTCTTATAATAAAAAATCAATAGAGTACAATATTAAGAGTGACTTTCCTCATCAAAATAATATGTACCAAAATTCCTAGGTCGGCATGATTAACAATTTATTTTAAAACCAATGTAATAGTAGATAATTTTTATGACAAAAAGAAAAATAAATAATATTCAAACCGTAGCTGATGTCAGCGAAAGGTGTGGACGAGTAGTTTATTTTGTCGACACTAGTAAATATTGATGAATTGGTGATATACAATGGTTTGATTTAATTTATATTATGGTTTTTATTGTTGGTTTTGTTTTTTTGTTTGTTTTTTTTTGTTTGTTTGGTTTTTTGGGGTTTTTTTTTTAGTACATTTTAGTGTGAATAGCAGATCGTTGTCCTTTATGTCTTTCGTAAAATACGGCGAAATGTGTATTGGTCAGTGAAAAGATGTTGCATTCTTTGTGTTTTTTTATATTATTATATGGGGTACATATATGACGTTAATTCTTATTAAGTGACAGAATATCAAGATCCTGTGCCTTGACCTTGATCCCAGGATGTCCTAAAACAATACTAACCGACATCTTTACATAAGCTTGCTATATATCAACTATGAGTACAAAGACTCATTTCTAACTCTTGATATTGTCCGGAAACAATTTAAGCTCGATTTTTTACATAGAAAGAAAAAGAGGTATTGTTACAGTTAAGGCAGTTTTCCCGTTGCCGTCTGCAAATTTTAAACTTGATCATTTTTGACAAGATGATGTTCTTAATAAAAGTGTCAGAAACGGTTTGTCCTTTAGGATTTGAAAAACCGTTTATTTAGAAAAGAGAAAAAAATGCATGTTATCACATATCACATTTATCCAAGTCTTTATCATTTATGTGTTTCTGTGGCTTATAATAATTGCTAAAATATATAGTTGATTGAATACATTAACATGTAAAATGTTTAATGTGCAACTGCGGCCTTGATGTTCAATATATATTTATTTCTCTATTCAAAATTATTTAAGTAAGCATATAACGAATCTCAAATAAAACTTTATTTAGAATACATATTGCAACCATGGCCAGAGATCGGCATTTGAATGAAAATCAAATCTTTATCAAGTATCATTATAGGATAGTAATGTGTAATAGAATAGGAAATTCGGAAATTCTAAAGAACGTCCAAAACGGCAAAATAAGAGATGATGCTTCACCAACCACATTTTCCAACACTGGGTTAATCAGAAGTTATTTTTATGATTGTGTAATCGTACTTACATGTATTAGTTTCATGTTCAATGATTTTAATAATCTGTAGCATACTTACTAAACAGCTTTTCTTGAGGGCACAAAAGACAATTTGATAGCGTCTATATCATTTCTATTTTAGAATTAAAAGAAGAAATTATTGCATGGTACAACATGTATCAGAGTACAGTTCCTCTTTCACCACTCACGGACGATTTGGATACCCCTTTAGCTTGTTTTTACGTGAAGACAGAACTCAACATGAAAACAAACGCATTCAGCGAACGAAAGGAAACAACTAGAGTCAAGTCGCTAGAAGACGTCTTTACATCAGGTAGGAAGGTCCCACGTGAAATATATTTGTCAGCTGACGCTGGCTTTGGAAAAACTGTGTTTTTTCAAAATATCTGGCTATAACATGGTGCCAAGCTCATCAAAGAGATGAAAACTACAAACATTTTATAGAAGAAGAGGTAAAAGCTCTTTCTAGTTTTGCGTTTGTGTTTCTGGTGTTCCTTAGAGATACAATTGAAGTGTGTAACGTCGACGATATGATCGAGCAACAGGTTATTGAAAATCTTCCTTGTTCATCATCATTACCAATGGACTTTTTAAAAGAAATTTTAAGCCGTGAAAAATGGTTAGTTATATTAGATGGACTAGATGAATGGACTCATCCTGAAAACAACTGTACAAAACCAAATAAAAATATTCCTCATCGATATGCACGAGAAAAAGTGTGTAATTCTAACAACGGCCCGGCCATGGAAGCTTGGAATCTCAAATTTAAAGACTAGTCAAATGGACAAAACAATAGAGTTAGTTCAACTTAATGATGAATCAGCAAAACAATTAGAGTTCAATGCTATTCGAGAGATGAAAAAGAGTCTCAGTGAAGATGAACTTAAGAAACAGACGATCGAATTACATAGAAATATAAATGACAGTGGTTATAACGATTTGAAAGTGGTTCCTCTCATTTTAATGTACATTGTATGCTTATGGTGCGATGGGAAACCGATTGGAAAGACAAAATGTCAACTTTATACAAGTATAGTAGAAATGCTTCTATCAAGAACATTGGATAGATATCCAGAATTAGAAAGTGTCGATGACTGTTCTTTGTCTAATCTCCCAAAATGTTTCGTTGTACATGGAAATTGCCAGAAAAATAGCTCACTTATAATGTCATTAGGAAAACTAGCTTTACATACATTATTCAGTGAACAAAGAGAAAACACACTGGTGTTCAACGGATCTATTGCAAAAAATTATCTGAGCATAGAAAATTTGAAGTTAAGTCTGCTTTCAGGGATACTAACAGAAAGTAAAGTCAAATCGTTTACAGAACAAGGTTCGAGAATATCGTTTTCCCACAAAACTGTTCAGGAATTCTTTTGTGCAACTTACTTAAGTGTCGACATGGCGACTGATGTGCAGGAAACCATTGTAAAGAAATGCAAAAGTTTACAGCATGTTCTAGATATATCAACACTGTTTATGTTTGCTAGTGGTATGAAACCCGAAATAATGACTTCTATATCTCATGATTTAATGCCCGCAATAAACAACGATGAGCAAACATGCAAGTACAGAACTATGACTCTGTATGATTACATGTACGCTGAACCATTACAAGACATACAAGACGTGTATATTGCATGTTCAAAAGAGTGCATGGAAAACAAAGAGTTCAAATTGTGTTTACAAGATTTATTCATCAATGAAAAATGTCAACAAGAAGACTACTTTAAACAGTTACAGCACATGTGTCTTCAAAACAAAGACAATATTAAATCAATATTAGTAGGAAACAAAGGTATCTGTAGCCTTAACGAAATCATCAACTTGTTTGCATTCCCTAGTCTTCAAAAATTAGAAAGAATACTGTATAGAGGTCAAATTATTGAAGGAGATATGATGAGCTTGTTATTGAACCCTCTAAGATGTTTAACTGTTATATCACATAAATGGGAACATAATAGATTTGTAAGAGAACAGTGCTTTCTTACTGCAGAGATGAATGTACGACTGGTCAAATTACAACAACTGGAGTGTTTTAATATAAACTCTTTCACTATGTCCCACGCGGTAATGGAGACATTGTTAAACTTTCTCACCAGTAAAAAATCATTAAAAGATATATCATTGTCCAGTTTATATTGTAGTGATCACGATACTTCATGTTGTGGATTCAACCTTGACCTGAGTCAACATTCAAATCTTAAATGTTTGTCATTGTGCGAGATACCTGTGTCACAATTAAACATGAATGTATAACTGTTACAGGAATGCACTGTAGGAAAATTGTATGAGCCTGGTGTTGTGTCAACTTATCTCAGACATCTTCCAGCAGCCAGTAACCTACAAACACTTTGGTGTAGTTCTTTAGAATCCTCCGTTGACATAGAAACAATGCTACAAACTTTACCATTGTTACTTCATGTGAAACACGTTTGGTAATCAAGTATTAATTTAGGTGAAAGTTCATTAATGTTGTCACCTCAAATGGTCAATATTGAACGAGTTTACTTATGGAACATGACAATGTCATGTAAAGCTTTGGATGACCTTCTTTGTATTGTAAACAAACTTCAACTTTCAGTGACAGTATGGATAAGAGGTTGTGATATAAAACCAGAGACAGAATTTGAACAAATTAAAAACAATATAAAAACATCTGAATTATTCATGGTGATAAACGATGACATCTATCAGAACAGGGATTATATATTTGCTTTCAAAACTATAAAACTTAATGCCAAATAAGCTGTACGAAAATGGAAATTCCATGGAAATTGAAAGTACATAAGCCAGTTTGTCACCAATGTAATGCATAAATACTAACCATAGTTTTAGATTCAATGTGCTTCAACGTAGTTTTGAATTGTTTTATTTGTCTTGTTGTAATGTTTTACAAGTGAGATCTTTTTACAAATAAAATTTCAGATTGTTTTAAAAAATATCTTTTATTCTTCTCTTTTTGTCACCCGCCTTTTCGAAAAAAGGGGAATATAGAAATAGGCTCCGGCTGTCTGTCGTGTCCGGTCCATAACTATGTAATTTATCAAAGGAATTTGAAATAACTTTGCAAAAATGTTTGATATAAGACAATGTGTCAGGCGGAAAACCGGAACCTACCTCCAAGGTCAAGGTCACACTTGGTGATTTAAGATCAATGTCCGGTCTATAACTTTCTTATCCATGAAGGGATTTTTTTTTCACTTTTCACTTCCTTGTTTCATACATATATCGCTAACCGCCTCCGTGGTCGAGAGGTTAGAGTCGATGACTTCTAATCCAGTTACCTCTCTGGCGTGGGTTCGATCCCCGGGAGATGCTTTGGTAGTTTAGCGCGGAGGAAGGTAGTTTAGTACTGGTGTAACTCTCCAGGAACGATGGTTAGGAAACTACCCGCCTATATGACTGAAATACTGTTGAAAAAGGCGTAAAATGAAACAAACAAACAAACATATATCGCTACCATTCTTATAACTAGTGCAACATTAACAAAATTTAAATAGGGTGATATCATTTTCTTAAGTTGAATTTTAATTGAGTTTCCATATCTAAATTCTGATAAAACGATTAGAAGTCACATTTTAGAACATGCTCAAAAATAATACCACTGACTTCCGGGGAAATATTTTCATATCCAAATAGCAATTTTTTTTGCAGTTAATGGATGGTATGGGCAGTTTTTAATAATTGATTATTGACTTTTGTAAATAATGCATACATTTGAAAAACAAATGTTCAAGAGGTAAAATAAATCAGAGTTTTTAGTTACTTCGTGTATAATAATATTTTTCTTTTCTATATAAATGAAAGCTACGGAAGTTCCCCGGTGCTATTTCTGATGTTCTAGATACCAATAATTCTTACGTATAATATAAAAAGCCTAAATAGGAATTTATAACGCCTACGTTAGACTTTTAAGATGAAAAGGTGGATAAAAAAAACTTCCAAATAAGGACTTAGTTACTTCTACATAAGAGAAAGAAAAGCCGAATTAGGAATTATTGACTCCGAAAATATCGGGAAAAGAACAAAAGGTAATTTTGAAAAATATGAACGAGATATGAATTGGCAAATATTATACTAGACAATCGTATATGCTTATTGTTCAAATAGTGAAAGATATAACAAAAAATAACAAAAGCCATTAGCGATGACACAATGTTACCGTAAAAAATGTCATGTTATCACACACACACACACACGCAAGCACGCACGCGCGCGCGCGCGCACGCATACACACACATTGGTAAGAAAGAAAAGAAAGGACCGGTCGAAACCGGTAAATCTAGGAGGGACTATACTATGGTGCTAGAAAAAGTTGTATATTATTCATATAATGTACGTTTTTAAACATTCTTGAAGTCTTTTTCAATATTTCTTAACACGACATCTACTCAATTCACTTTTTACCGGGTATTTGATTTGTGCCAGAACAGTCACTTGAAACAGAAATTTGGACAACAGATCCACGGGTATTAAAACAATAACGTACATAACTTTCTTGACACTTATCAATCGTTTTACATGGAAGACCATCATTTTTTGGAGGCCCAAATCTTTTTGTTACACTTGCGAACTGGCGTAAAGCTGGGGAACCAGTTTTCATCACCAGTCGCAATTTCTTAATTTGACGACTGTCATAATGAAGAAAACTGTTCAGTAACTTTAGAGCGCATTTAGCTTGCTCCTTCTTCTGCTCATATGTTAGCAAATGGGGTATATATCTGGCAGTTATTCGCCTATCTTTCAAGGGATTCTTAAGAATCGTATGAGTTGACCCTTGTGATATCCCTGCGATATGGGTTACCTGGATAAGTAAAAGTCTGATATCTTTGCCAATGATAAGCTTGACTTTAGAATGTTTTTGTCAGTAACTATGGAGTGTTTTTTTACAAGAGGCAGAATTGCAGGCATCTTAAATTGACTCTCGTGCCCATTTTTGAATGTTTATCCGCCTCAAAACAGTTGCCTAATATACTTTATGGTTGTCATAAATTTTAAAAATACCATTGTAAATATTTTTGCAGATTTGCTTTGTTTTGATTGAGCTTTTATATTAGTCCATCTTTCAGCCTTTAAACAGTCGTGTTTAATATGAAGTCACTCGTATAAGGTACGTGTATGTTTAAATGTGAATAAAATTCTTAATCGGTTGACTGCCCTCAAAATCTTGGTATCATTTAAAAGCAGATGCATTGAGGCATAGCATATTTTACACAAACAAGAATCACGAGCTAAATAAGCAAATCAATCAGATTAAAATCAGCTCTAAATAACGCTCTGCATTTAGATCTGACAATCAACAAATACGGAGTCACTTCTCGATACTTTTCCAAAAGCAAATCATCGGCGAGCTTTCATAATTTTGAAAGCGTTTCTGTTACTTTTTTAAAACG